AGGCAAATGAATGTTTTAACATTATCACCAGGAGATAAGTTCTTGACAAACCAAGTAAAAATTTTGTATTTTTTCTTGAAAATAAATGAGGAAAACTCATTTCCAAATGGACTTCTCCAAAGCTCCCTAATGGGTTGAGAACAACACAAACAATGATATAGTTCAGAGAATTTAAAAGCAGGACTGTTTTTGCTAAAATGCTGGGTATCCAAGCTTTAAGTCAATAGGCATTGTGCTGTTGTAAGGCATCCCTAGGATTTCTGAATATTCTACAAATGCCTGACACTGTCACATGTTGACATAAAGATCTTGGATTTTTACCAGAGAGAGATGAACCCCTAATCCTGACAATCCAGGAAAAAAAAAAAAAAAAAAAAAGGCATCTTTGATTACTTTAACTCTTTCATGAAATTCCTACAACATATTGCTCCAATAGAAACTAGGGCTCTAATCAGACCTCAAATGACCCTAAATATTCAAACTCCCAGTTCAAGAAACATCAGTGAAATAAACTAATTCTCTTGTGTCATGCTGTTGGTTGGCAAGGGAACCTAGACCAGAGTCCTACTATGCCCATTACTATCCTTACTATAGATGTTGAAAAAATGCCTAGAGTTTTACATACTGACTGAGATTTACACATCCCTAACAGGAGAAAGGATTTGTCAATATATTGATTTACATCCTTGACACCAGTTCCCAAATTTCAAGGTTTTGGGTTTTTTTTTATGGAAATAGAGCTAAATACAAATCTAGTCTATTGCTCCGCAAGAACAGATGGTGATCACAAATGTTCTTTACACTGTTTATTACATTTAATGAACTGCTCCCTGCTGCTGTTGGAAATTTTCACTAGTACTAAAACTCCTTTAATTTGGTTTGGCTAAATGATTGGTCTTGATAATTTAGTGTGCATAATAACCTCCTGTGGAGCTTATTTTAAATGCATTCCTAGCATTTCTGATTCAGAAGATCTGAGGAAGAAGCTAGAAATCTGTACTTTTAACCAAGCATCCAGCTAATTCTGATATCATTGGAAGGCAACCATACTCTGAGAAAGATTGTTTCAACTGAAAATAAAAATTCCATGTCTACACATAAAGTAAAACAAGAGTTCTGTAAATATTTCCTACTTTATTCCAGAGGAACATATGTACCTAACTCCAAAAGAATTATCATTCTAAAGCTTCTAATTTGTTGCTTACCCTACAGGAAGGACACTAAAACAAGTCACAAAGAATTTTAGGTTCCTTTAGAAATTTTAGTATAAGTATCCATGTCAGAAGACATTCAAAGGAAAACATGGAGATTCAGGAAGAGATTACAAGTGTCTTATTTGTTTTTTAGATCTGAAAGAGACCTAACAGATATTATCTAGACCAAGAGTCAGCAAACTATAACCTGGGTGCTAAATCTGGCCTGCTGCCAGGTTTTGGACAATTCAAAAACTAAGACTGTTACATTTAAAAAAAATAAAAATAAGAATAATATATTGTGGTACGTAGAAATTCAAGGAACTAAAATTTTAGTATCTATAATAGAGGATTTCGTTTTTCATTTTTTGTTAATCCTCACAGGAGGATATTTTTTCCATTGATTTTTAGAGAGAGTGGAAGGGAGGGAGAGGAGAGAGGAAGAGAGAGACAAACATCAATGTGAGAGAGACACATCAATCATTGCCTCCTGCACACCCCCTACCATGGTCTGGGATTGACCTGCAACCCACATACGTGCCCTTGACTGGGAATCAAACCCTTGACCCTTGGATTGCAGGCCGACGCTCTACCACTGAGACACACTGGCCAGGGCCATAAATAAAGCTTTATTGGAACACAGCCATGCTTATTAATTTACATATTGTCTATGTAAATATAATAACAATGGAATCGAGTAGTTGACTCAATTTTCCAGGCAAAAGCTTTTAATTTTTATGTAATCAAATTTATCAATATTTTCATGATTTAGAATCATGGTTCAAAAGGCTTTTCTCTGGTTATAAAGAAACTTAACCCCTGGTTTCTCCTAGTTTTTGAAGGGTTTTATTTTTTTATATACACATACTTACTAGGATATATTCTAAGTCCAAAAAGGCTGAAAATAAATCTAAAATCTCATTTAGTAGTTCTATTATTAGGCTTGTTGGTATTATTATTTTGAAGCTATTTTATGTAAATTGTAAGACAAAGCAAACAAGTAGTTCTGTCAAGTCAATCTTGTTAGGAGCCAAGATTTTCAGTGTAAGGAAAAAAAAAGATACAAATATAAAATCAAGAAATTAGGTAAAAACCCTGAAACATTGTATTTGACATGAAATTATTGATATGAACTCATTAGTTTTAAAATTATATTTGTTAGTCGTGAAAGAGCCTAGAAACAATGACAGTACAATATCTATGAGTATTTCTAGCTCTCAGATGAATGATCTCCACCAAAAGGAACTAAGAATCCTTTAAAAAATGCATGAAGCTTTCAAAGACTAAGTACATCAGAAGAACACAGGAGCCAAAGTTGGCTCAAGTTGAGCATCAGAAAGAAAAAATGATTATAATATATTAAAATACATGGACTATATATTAAAATCCATGTGTTCATAATGATACTTAAAAAAAACCTTCCCCAAAATGGGAAAAATGTTTCATTTGTTGCCACTGGAGGTGACTATTGATGCAAGAAAGAAGAAGAAAGGAAGAAAGAAAAGAAAAAAGAAAGAAAGAAACTATATTCTGAAAATCTGTAATTAAAAGGAAAGAATTAAACATTTATTCTGTCTTACCAGTAGAAAGTATGTTCCAACGTAACCAAATATATAGGAACTAAGTGGGATTTATTTCAGGAATTACAAGATAGCTCAAAATTAGTAAATCTACTAATAAAATTATTAATGAATCCAGGGTAAAATCATCTACATAGGTGTTGAAAAAGCATTTGACAAAATCAACAATCGTTTTTGATTTTTAAAAATCACTCTATAAGATAGAAATTAGGTGCATTTTTTTCTAATGTGATAAAATATATCTTTTTCAGATCAAATGGAGTCAAGTTATGGTAGTAATATATATATAACTGTTTATGGATAAACAGTAATTAATACAAGAATCATTTCTACTTAAAGTAATAAACAAGACAAGGATGCTCATATCACCACTCTCATATTGGAGGTAATAGCCAATGCAATTAGGTAAGAGAAAAATGATAGAAATACAAAAATTGAAAAGGAAGAAGGAAAACTCCTATTTTCCAGACAGTATGGTTGCCTCCCTAGAAAAGTCGAGAAATCAACTAAAAATTTACTATAAACAATAACTCAATAAGGTAGCAAAGTACAAAAGAGACAGAAATAGCTTTTGTGTATTCAAAGTATATCTAGCTGGAAAATGTAATGGAAGAAGAAAGTCTTACAATGGCAACGAAAAATGATAAAATAACTAGTATTAAATCTAATAAAAGATGCAAACCTATACAAAAAAAACTTTAAGACAACACTGATGGATATAAAATATGTTAAGCAAATGGAAAGACATATTCTCAGATAGAAACACTTGTCGTTATTAGAGATGTTGATTTTCTCCAAGTTAATGAATAAATTTAATCAGATTTCAATAAAAACTCCTATAAGATGGGGGTTTTTTGGGTGTTCTCCCCCCTTTAAGTAGATGAATCAATCTAAAGTTCATATTAAAAAGTAAACACACACACAAAAGGAAACATACAAGAATAGACAGGAGTGATCAGAAAAAAAGAACAAATAATGGGGGCCAGCCCAGTCAGATTTATTGAAATATATTCAAAAGTCTCCATAACTAAAGCAGGGTGATGGTGCATAAAAAGGGAGCTAGACCAATGGACTAGGACAGAAAAATCCAAAAATACACTTCAAAATATATAGGAATTTAGTAACAAAAGTTCATTACAAAACAGTGGGGCAAAGATAGACTATTCAATGATTATTATTGGGATCACTATGTAGCCATTTGGAAAATGATGAAGTTGGATCCGTATCTTACATCTTACCCTACAATAAGTTCCAAATAGGTCAATATTTAAAGTGAAGATTAAAATATAATTTCAGAAGAAAAGATAAGAGAATTCTTTTAATATCTTGAAATGTAACAATGATTCAAAATCTGGAAGCCATAAAATTAAAAGTAAATAAATTCAACCATGTAGAAATAAAAAAAAAAAAAATCATCTTCATGATGAAAGATAAATGGCAGGTGGAAAACAGAGGGAAATGTAACTTATTCACATGCTTTTGTATAAAAGAAAGAAAATCAAGTATTCGTATTTGCATTTGCTTATGTATGGATACAGAAACTTTGGAAAAATCCATTGAAAACTAAGAACAGAAGTTAGTTATGGCAGAGGTAGAGTACTGGGTACATGGAGGGTAAGAATAGGAAACTTTTCACTGTATAACTATATATTTCGGCATTTGATCCAGTGAATACGTTGCTTATCTGAAAAGCTAAATTTTGAAAAAGTCCCTACTCTCAATTCATGTGGTTTACTTTCCAGAGCAGAGAGACAGGCACTTGGGATCCTAGGGAGATAACTAAATCTGTGAATACAAGAAACTTATTAAATATACTTCATTAGTCTTCATTAGTGCATCATAGATAGTGAAGCACATAGTAGTAGCTTAATAAATATTTTTAAATAACTATGAAATTATTTCCTTTAAGTCTTTTTTTTTTTTCCTTCCCCAAATTATATGAGGAAGTTTATTTAGAAGGTTATAGAGACAGAAGTGAGCTGTAGAAGAAATGGGCTCAGGAAACAAGTTACAGCAAAAGAAGGGCCCTTGGAGTTTAGGGAGGGGAGAGAGAGAGGGAGAGAGAGCAGCTCGGGGGGAAAAAAGGGGGTGGAAAAAGGCTCAGGGGTGCTCCATAGAGAGCTGCCTTATTTTTAAGTCCTTTTAAGTTTGCACGAGTATATTATTGTTCTATGTGCTTTTCCATTTAAGGAGCTATATCATCAACTGAAAACATAACAGATTGTACCTGTTGGAGATAGTGTTGGTGACGTGTATCTTCAGATCTTCTGTGACATCTCTCATCGCCCTCTGATAACCAGAAATTCTTTTGACTTTGATATAAGAAGGATTGTTTCTCATTAAGTATTCCCCCAAATAATTAATTGGATCAAACTTAGTTGGAATATCAGCTTCTGACAAAAGCTTCTTTTTTTCCACTTGCATTAACATATTTTCCACTCCAACAACTAAGGTGGGTAGAAGTTTGTCGAGCAAATATGCACGAGTGTTCAGTGTCATGCTTTCAATATTAAACCACTCTTTGGCAAAAGTATCCTTAGGGAGTCTTTTCTCAGCCTTTTTTTCTAGTTCTTTCTTCAGATTATCCTTATCTATTATTTTCTGCTGCATTGCTTGAGCTCTTGCCTCCACTCTTTCGAAAAGATTTTTCTTCCATGGTTGTTCTAGCTTTGAATCCACTACAGTTTGATCTAAATTGAAAATCACGTTTGCAGGTTCTCTAATCACAACATTTTTTGAGATTGTAATGTTAGATTCCTTTACTGAACCAGTTGAGATCCTTGGCTTCCCCTCTAGGTTTAATTCTGAGGGGAAAAATGTGAAATATAGGAAATATTAGAAGTAGATTTTAATCTATGCTAGTTTAAAATATTATTAGGAAAAATAATATATCTTTAAATGGTGTATTCAAATACAGCTGAAAGTAACAGAAAATCAGACAATGACTTTAACCATGAGGACATTTATTGTTGACTTAATCAGAAGTCATTTAGCAGCTCCGTGTTTTTCATTAAGTACCTGTTTTATTATCCTTTATTTTTATTTTATTTTTATTTTTTGCTTGTACCTCAGGATCACAAGATAGCTATTGTAGCTCCAGGCATCACTTCTTTACAGGAAAAAAAGATTGAGAACAATGGGGATTTTTCCTCTTCAGGTTCTGTTTTATTATCCAAGAAGAGAAGATCCCAGATCCCTGCTCCAACACTTTCCTTTATATTTCATTGACCCTAATTATGTTACATGTCTGCCCCCAGACCAATAGCTGGTAAAGGAAAAGGGACTACTATGAATAGTTTTGACTAATCATAATTTATTCCTTCATTCAGGGTTTAGATCAAGTTATCTGATCTTAAGAGATTTCAATCTGCTATAATATTGAGGTTTAATTGGCTGGCAAAAAGGTAGGGAAATGTCTGCTGAGTGGGCAGTGGAGACAGTCTACCACACGTGTATATTTAAATGCATTTCTTCCCACTCTCATATTTCTAGCCTCTTTCATTTTTAAAATGTAGTCTGGAGATATTAGACCAAGATAGTGGACTGAGAACAGCACCTACTTTCCCTCCCTACCCAAACCTCTAGAAATGACAGAAAAGGTTTTGTGTGTGTGTGTGTTTTAATATAAACATACGAATGCTGGCAGAAATGAAGGCGGCCTTCAGTGGCCAGAAATGTTGAGGGCCTCTGAGAAATGTAAGGTGGGTGGGAGTAGAATGACTGAAGAAAGTATAGGACTAAAAATATAAAAGAGAAAAAAATACACTGTGAAGTTGGGAGCAGCTTTGAGGGATCCCAGGTTTAGAGAATGTAGACTTGGGCAGCAGGGCAATGGCTGACCTTTTCGTGTTTCTTCAGGCCCATTTAAGATGTTCATCAGGTACCAGAGGCATTCGCCCCTGCACTGGGACAAAGTGGTTTAGGATAGAGAAGCAGGAAAAGGCCTCCACACGGAGAGAAAATAAGTTGCTGACTGGCTTCACTAGCTGCACATTTTACCTCTCACCCACAATCACAGGCAGCAGGCTGCAGAAAACAAAAACTACACTCGCAAAAGAGCAAACAGGGGTTTCCAAATGCAAATGTAAGCACACACACAAGAATCATGACTATTCAAAGAAAACTTGCTCCGTGACTAAATTCAACCAATGCAATAATTAATAGTACCAAGGAAATACCATTAATAGAATAAACATAAGGAGTCTCTAAAAGAATTATAATTAATATCCTCAGAGCAGAGAAACTAGATAAAATAAAAAGAATGTTATAGCTCTGGCCAGGTGCAGGTGGTTTAGTTGGTTGGACCATCGTCCCCCAAATTGGAATAAGAAAATTAGCCAAGAAGGAAATAAAAACTTGGGAGAGAGGTTCATAAATACTACCCACTTTTGGATTCAAGACATTCTTTAGGTTAAACGCTGGCCTTTCAAGTGTTTCTTTATAGACTATTTAATTAGACTTTTCTTTGTTCTGACAGTCTTTCAGATTTCCTTATTTTTAGTGACCTTGACAGTGGTCAGGTTTGTATCACCACCCATGCCTGGATCTAAATGGATGAGGTCAGCCCCATCAAAGCCAAATAGGTTAAGAATGAGAGAAGGGTGGCTCCCCAGGGAAATTTGGGCAGACAAAAATATCTATGACTAGAGCCCAGCTGGGTGGCTCAGTTGATTGGCGCATCACCCTGTACACCAAAAGGACTGTGGGTTTGATTCTGGTTAGGGCACGTACCTGGGTTGCTGGTTTGATCCCTAGTTGGGGTGCTTATGGGAGGCAGCCAATCAATGTTTCTCTCTCACATTAATGTTTCTCTCTCTCTCTCAAATCAATAAATATATCCTGGGGTGAGGATTAAAATATATTTATATATCTATATCTAATCTATATCTTTATCTATCATTTATCTACCTATATTGCTGGAGAAGTGGTCAATCGTGTTACATGCTGCAGAAAAATAAAACATGTGTTAAGGAGTACTATTGGGTATTTTTGTAGAATGTCCCTAACTGGGATTGGTCCGAAGGGCATTTTTATTTATTTATTTATTTATTTATTTATTTATTTATTTATTTATTTATTTATTTTAAATATATCTTTATTGATTTCAGAGAGAGGAAAGGAGAGGGAGAGAGAGAGAAACATCAGTGCTGAGAGAGTCATTGATCAAGCCCGCAACCCGGGCATGTGCCCTGACCGGGAATCGAACCCCGATCGCCTGGATCCTAGGTCGATGCTCAACCGCTGAGCCACGCCTGGCCGGGCTGAAGGGTATTTTTAAATCATGATTAGATTGGGATTATGGGTTTGGGGGAGGAAGACTACAGAGATAAAATTCTATTCTTATCACATCCTATCAAACATATCTTATATGCTATTAGCATGACTTTTTACTATTGATGTTCATTTTTCTTATCTGGCTGAGATAGTGTTTGTCAGATTTGCCCACTGTAAAGTTACTTATTTCCATACCCTACATAGGAAGAAGTCACTATGCATAGCCCACACTTAGAGAATAGAATTACGCTCTACCTTTTGGAGGGCAGAGTATCTACTAAATTATTTGGAATACTTCTGCACAGGACATTTGTGTATTTCCCCCATTTATTTATTTATTCAAGTATTTGTTTATATCAGTATAGATTTATGGATATTTCTTTTATGCTTGGTTATAATCCAATGCTACTTTATGTCGTCGCTCAAACTGTTTCATCTTTGATCATTAGCAGCACTTTCAGTTGGCTGCCTCGTCCCTTTGACATACCACAATCATTGCCGAGTTTTTTCAGCACTTCCTTACCTTTCGGCACTACAAGATGCTCCAGGTTCATCATACATATTTCCTGCCCCAGTCCTTAAATTAGCCATTTCTCCAATGAGTCCTGATTTTTTATAAAAAATCGGAGAATGATATTAGCAATCAAGATCTGAGCACTAAGTATCCAAGCTTTCTTAATTGTTGTGGGGTTTTTTCCATAACATTTATAACATTAAAAAAATCCTCCCAAGAGGGTATGTTTTATTGATTTTTAGAGAGAGAGGAAGGGAGAAAGAGGGAGAGACAGAGAAAGAGAAAAACATAAATCAGTTGCCTCCCCTACACGACCCAACTGGGGAGCGAACCTGCAACCTAGGTATGTGCCCTGATCAGGAATAGAACCCAAAACCTGTTTGGTGTATGGGACCATGGTCCAACCAACTGAGCAAATTAACCA